CTCTGTCTCTCTCTCTCTCTGTCTCTCTCTCTCTCTGTCTCTCTCTCTCTCTGTCTCTCTCTCTCTCTGTCTCTCTCTCTCTGTCTCTCTCTCTCTCTCCTGTCTCTCTCTGTCTCTGTCTCTGTCTCTGTCTCTGTCTCTGTCTCTCTCTCTCTCTCTCTCTCATATGCACCTGTTAATTGCAAGTGGTATTGTTACTGTGGCATAGAAGCCACAGTTTTTTCTTCTTTCCAAAAGAAATTTCTTGGTAATCAGGATTATATAAAAATATCCATACATGATACAAACATTGAAAAAAATATTTCTCCTACAGTCATTGTTTGCAGTGTATTAAATCTTGAAAAAAAATTACATATCAGTTAGGATATCTTCTTAAAATAAAGTGTCGGTAATACATGTGTTGATATGATATCAGTGTCACTTTAACTTCCTAAGAATCAATATATTGGAACTACTTTAACCAATTTTCAACTATTGATGTATCAGTATCTATTTCTCTATATCTGCATCAATCTTTCTTTCTTTATCTATCCCAATATATCTATTTCTATAAAAATATATACCCATCTATCTATGTACAGGCATGTGTCTTGGTAAAATTTGATACAAAAAACAACAGGCATTGAATAGATGCTATGGCATCATGACGAGAGCATTCACACTACTAGTGAAATTATGAGGGAAGACTAAAAGTAACAAACATATTCTGTACAAACAACCAAAACCCAGCATTGCCTACAGTACCATTATGATTTCAACATTCCACTTCTGCCTCTTATATTCAAGCTGTCTATTTATTGATTGAAAATTTTACTTCTACCATTTTTACAAGCTGGGTTTTGTAGTTATTGTGTGTGCATACAGATGCTGAGAAAGGACCTGTATAATCTTATTCATATCTCTGAATTTACAGATGAAGTGAACAATCACTGATAATGTATATGCTTACCACTGACCAGCCTTAAAGCTGAAATCTGGATTATCAACTTGAAGGGTTATGCCTCTTACTGTAGGGGATTCCAGTCTAACCTCGGTGACCACTGCTTTTGCAATGACCGGCTGTCGGGTGCTTGTAGCTGTAATCTTTAGATGTTTTCCAGCATTTGCCTTTTCTCTTTCAGTACTGACACTTGTGTCCACTTCAGGTGGGGCATTTGATATGGATCTAAAAGAAAACATACTGTAGGGAGTACATCATGAAAATAACTGGTGTCATTCAAAATTATCTTAGCATATAAAACATTCAAAACTCTGGTTGTTGTTCAAGTCGCTTTCCCACCTATGAAAGGCATCCATCTTACAAAGGCACATCCAGCTTCATATTCCTCTTAAGATGATGCCCAGGATGCTCAGTAAATAAGTGCATGGTGTACATGAAAACAAAGCAGGCATACAGTTGCCTATTGTCTTTGTGTCTGAAATGTCATATGGTTCACCAGATGAAACAGCTGAAGAGGGCCTATCTCTTAAGGTCAGATTATTAAGGAAAGAGAAAAATATGCTATGGGCTTGTAGTCCTTTACATGACTTCATTGTCTCCTTTGTATAAACACCTTGTAAATAGGAAGAAAAGTGATGTTAGGAAATGGCATTGATTTCACAGAAAGATACCCTATATAGGTAAAAATCATAAAATACTTTAGCAAATTATGCTGTCATAAAATTATTATTATTACATGGTGTGTTGGTGAAATAGTCGTAGATGGCAGGATATTCTATATTAGGCCATTTCGAAGAATCCTCAATCCAAATTTCAGCAGGTGAATGGTATGGGCACTCTTTTAGCTGCACAATTTCTAGTTTTACTTCATATCACTTTTTCGCTTTGGTTTTTGAAGAATCAAAGTATGCATATGCCATTTTTGCTTTGGCTGATAGCAAGGTATCTGCGAGCGACAGGTTTATTTTCACCAAGTGGAACGGTGACTCCTACTCGTGATGTCACACCGAATCAGTATATGCCCTCCCCAGCTATTAGGACAAGAATGTGGGGGGGGAAGCTATCATGCAATAAATTCTTTATTTGGAAACTAGACAGGGAGAGGAATCCAACGATACTGAAATCGTCGCGATCTGTTTGGCGGACGCATTCTAGAAAATTACCAAATAAACAAAGGAATTAGCTCGATGGTAATTTTCAACATCACGTCCGCCACTCCGATATCGACGATTTTGGTATCGTTGGATTCCTCTCACTCTATATAATGCAAATATGTAAGATTTATTGCGTGGAAACACCCCATTAGTGACAAACTTGGCCCCGATAGCAGGGGAGGGCATGAAAGGTTCCATGGAAAATGCAGGGTTAAATAACACTAACAATATAACCCACAGTGAAAATAACTTTCCATTGCAGGGGGCTGCCACCCCCCAACCTCTGCCAAGGAAACAAAACCTCCACCATGTATTCCCAGCAGGCTAGAGCATTACACAATTATTGTCAATATCCGAGCAGCGGACGTATTACAATTACCTTGTAACATTCCCACTGAATCAGCATACTAACCTTGACATAGTCAGCATTGTATACAGAAATGATTGTAGTATAATCAGGATGAACGGGGTATACCATGAACAGAAGAGCGCCCTCGTCGGCGGGTTTTGCACCTCTCTTGATGTTACACCGATCGCCTCAACCGCCGCATTCAGTACTTCGCCATAGCCGCCGCAATGACCGAGTGTAAAGGGTGCTCCTAATCTGAGACTGAGGTAGCAACCAGCCAGGAACAAATGTTGGAATTGTGCTTCCGCTACGGCCTCCTCCATCGGGAGAGAGCCTGTGGCAGGTGTGGGCAGCCAGCACGCCTGGACGTGAAGAAGAAAAGGTTCAGGAGCACCCTCCCAATTATTGACGGCATCTATTAATCAGATTAGTACCTGAAAAATCCTAGGTTATGGTAGGTTATCGGCTCCGCATCTAGTTCGTGTGCATCCTGCCATGAATACGTGTGGGATATTTTGTTTCCCCCAGGGGGTGTCGCAATGGAAAGTCATGTGAATAATCACTTTGAGTTATATTATTAGGGTAATTTTTTATATTATGTCCGCCGCTCCAACATCATCGCCCCTGCAATCCAAGTTTGTCTCTAACGGGGGTTTCCGCGCAATAAAACCTACATATTTGCATTGTATAAAGTGAGAGGAGTCCAACGATACCAAAATCGTCACTATCGGAGCGGCGGACATAATATAGAAAATTACCAGCTTAATTAATGTTTGACAAAAAAAAAAAAAAAAAAAAAAAAAGTATATATATATATATATATATATATATATATATATATATATATATATATATATATATATATATATATATATATATTGCATGCAAATTTTCTATCCCATTACTGATGCAGAGTGGTCTTTAAAAAAAGTAAAATCACATGTTGAGGGTAGTCCCAATCTCCCAGAGGTACCTCAATACCTGCCTTATACTTCATAAACAAAAATATAATCAAAAATATGTTCGTGAAAATCTTTGCGAATCAATTGTCGGTATTGAAAATACTAATTTATTCAACTGGTCTCATTGGTTTGACATTTATTCTTTTTGGTAATTCTCTATATTACGTCCGCATAACCGATATCAACAATTTTAGTATCGTTGGATTCCTCTCAGTCTCCACATTGCAAATATATAGTTTTTATTGCGTGGAAACCCCCCGTTAGCGACAAACTTGGCCCTGATAGCAGGGGAGGGCATGAAAGGTTCCAGGGCAAATGCGGGGTTAAATAGCACTAATAATATAACGCGCAGTGAAAATAACCATGGTTATTCACATAACTTTCCATTGCAGCGGGCTGTGCCCCCTGCAACCCCCCCTGGGGGGCTGCCGTCCCCAAACCCCGCCGAGGAAACAAAACCTCCACCCCGTATTCCCAGCAGGCTAGAGTGTTACAAAATTATCGGCGATCTCGGAGCGGCAGACATATTACATTTACCTCGTAACATTCCCACAGGATCAGCATATTAACCCTGACATAGTCAGCATTGTATGCAGAGTCGATTGTAGTATAATCAGGATGAACAAGGCATACCATGAACAGAAGAGCGGCGGTGACCCGCCCTCGTCGGGTCGGCGGGTTTTGTGCCTTTTACAAGCATCAAGTTCGTGTGCGCTCTATCCTGCCATGAAGACGTGGTGGAGGTTTTGTTTCCTCAGCGGGGGTTGGGGGGCGGCAGCCCCCTCCCAGGGAGGATCGCCCCATGTGAATAACCATGATTATTTTCACTGTAAGGTTATATTATTATGGTAATTTGATATATTACCTCCGCCGCTCCGACATCGTCGCCCCCGCTATCGGGGCCAAGTTTGTCGCTAACGGGGGGTTTCCGCAAAATAAAACCTACATATTTGCATTGTAGGAGGAATCCAACGATACCAAAATCGTCGACATCGGTTATGCGGTCGAAATATAGAAAATTACCTTTTTGGTTTTTCAATTATCAACTTACCTAGCCATGTTATTTTTGTTTAGATTTAGACATTTACGCATTAGATAGAGTCCCTGCCTCATGTTATCAAATACTGCAGGTGAAAGCTGTATCTCTTCTTGTTTTTTCTTCTATATAGTTTTAGACAATGCTTTTCTTTCTTATACCATGTTATCGTCTATATTCCCTAGACAACGCACTTCTCCTTTCTTGTTATAAGATATTAGGCTACCGTAGTACCGCCCTTTCCTTCTTTCTCCTTTTATAAAGTAGACTACCGGTCTATCTCGGAAGAATTAGGTAAGAGTTTCGTCTGCAGACACGGTGTGGTTAAGGTCAGCTGTAAACAAACATTTCCCAATATAATCATACAATATATAAAGTTAAATTGTCTTGAGAAATGATTAAATCAATATCTAAGATTACATCAATTATGCATTTAAAAGCATAAGATATGTGCAAATACATATCCTTTCAACAACTATGGTTGGTGAGTATAACTATACTTTTTTGTTTCATCACTATCATTGGATGCGACTTCAGCTTAGTTGAATGTGTGATTGCTATTTTTTTCAACGACAAACTTGCCTCGGGGTAATTGTATTTATATGATTCGAATAAACCTGTACGTAAAACCTAGATGCTAATTTCGCCTGGCCTAGTACGAGTGCAGTTATGTTGAGGTGTGTGAGGCCGATCGGTAGACGACTGACGCGTGAAAGGAAAACATCGCAGTTGTCATTAGGACGAGCGATCGGGAAGGCTCTATCCTGATAGTAATGTTGGTTTGTTGTGCTAAATCTTTCACGAGTAATAGTGGCAGTTAAGGGTGATATTAGAACCGGTATCCATCTACGGCGAATAATTACTCCATTTTCTTCCGTTAAAGTTTGTTTACTGGTAATATCAGTTAGAAAGAGGAACTAGCAGTTCAGATGGATGGAAAGTTAATGTGTAAGAACAAGTGTTATACAGTAGACATGGTAATTCCTGATTTTATATTCGCATCCTTCAAGATTCATTTTCCATGAAAGCTGTGCATCGCGGAGAGTGATATGAATATCGGAATAGCTAAAAATGGTTTGTAATAACAGGAAATATCAAACCATGCGAATATAAAATTGTGAATAATGTATTTATGGGAATTGCGCGGCATACAAGTTTAAATTTTAGGTATCAGTTTCCAGAATCAAACTAGGCATTCACTCTTCATGAGGGCAAACAGGAAGCACACCAATGAGATTTTTCTCTCTACCCATTTCACAACTATCCTTTGCTCTGCTCCCCTCCCATCTTCTTAGGATGTCTGAACATCGCTAATTTCATCCCTCCACCCCGAACCATCCTACCATTATTCCGCCATTTCCCCTAGTCAAATTCCTTTTCCAGTCAAAATCAAGATATGGTAATTTTCTATATTCCCTTCGCCTCTCCGATATCGACGATTTTGGTATCGTTGGATTCCTCTCACTGTCCACATTGCAAATATATAGTTTTTATTGCACGGAAACCCCCCCGTTAGCGACAAACTTGGCCCCCATAGCAAGGGAGGGCATGGAAGGTTCCAGGGAAAATGCGGGGTTAAATAACACTAATGATATAACCAACTGTGAAAATAACCATGGTTATTCACATGACTTTCCATTGCAGGGGGCTGTGCCCCCTGCGACCCCCCTGGGGGGGCTGCCGCCCCCAACCCTTGCCAAGGAAACAAAACCTCCACCCCGTATTCCTGGCAGGCTAGAGCGCTACAAAATTATCGTCGATCTCGGAGCGGCGGACGTGTTACAGTTACCTCGTAACATTTCCACTGAATCAGCATATTAACCTTGACATCATTGTATACAGAGACGATTGTAGTATAATCATGATGAACGGGGTATACCATGAACAGAAGAGTGCCCTCATCGGCGGGTTTTGCACCTCTCTCGATGTTACACCGATGGCCTCAAGGTCGAGTTTCCCGTCCCCTGGAACCATGATTTTCGAATTCCTAACTGAAATAACTACCGCGTTCAGTACATCGCCATAGCCGCCGCGATGACCAAGTGTGGAAGGTACTCCTAGTAGGTTATGGTAGGGTAAGTTATCGGCTCCGCATCTAGTTCGTGTGTGCTCTATCCTGCTGTGAATATGTGGTGGATATTTTGTTTCCTCGGCGGGGTTGGGGGCGGCAGCCCCGGCTGGGGGGGTCGCAGGGGGCACAGCCCCCTGCAATGAAAAGTCATGTGAATAACCATGGATATTTTCACTGTGGGTTATATTAATAGGGTAATTTTCTATATTACGTCCGCCACTCCGACATCGTCTCCCCCGATATAGGGCCCAAGTTTGCCGCTAACAAGGGGTTTCCGTGCAATAAAACCTACATATTTGGATTGTACAGAGTGAGAGGAATCCAACGATACCAAAATCGTCAAAATTACTATATTACGTCTGCTGCTCCGACCTCCGCTCCGACATCGTCGCCCCCGATATAGGGCCCAAGTTTGCCGCTAACGGGGGGGTTTCTGGGCAATAAAACCTACATAGTTGGATTGTGGAGAGTGAGAGGAATCCAACGATACCAAAATCGTCGATATCAGTGAGGTGAAGGTAATATTGAAAATTACCCAAGATACTCCAATGTGTACCACTTCCCCAGTGCCTACCCCTCCTCCTCCTCACTTTACCTGTCTCTCCAGGCAACTCTATCTTTGATAGATGTTTACAAGTTATTCCTCCAACAATGTTTTGGGATTCTGTGGGGAATTGGGGTTTTGGGGTGATTTCACTCTTATCAGGCATTTTTAAAAGCAACCAAATGTAAAATATTGAAAATATCCGAGCCAAGAATAGCATTTCATATGATAAAGTAAGTGGAAAATTACAAAATTTGAGACAAGATTCGGCCATGGATTATTACAGCATGGTGTTGCATGAACAAACTAGCAAGTGAACTGCATCTTAAACACACAAACCAAAAACCTTCCTAACTCTTTCCTGATTGCCGTATTTCCCCACTGAGGGCACAACCCCCTGACTCCCTTCCAAATTATATTTTCATACTGGGGCCTCTGTCCCCA